ACCAAAATGTATCCTGCTGCTTTGCTAGCTAGATCAGTTCCCCTTCCTGCCTTTGGGCTGTCACTCACTCACTCTGTTGCTCTTTCCCTGCCAGTAACACGGTGTACACCACAGTCATGAGTGCCGCACTCCCGGATCGGTACCAGACCTGGATGAGAACTGAGGAGTAAAGAGATGGAAGTGGCAGAGGTGTAAGTGGCATCTGTACTTTAAACAATCATTTTAGCTGCAGAGTCACTGAGGGAAAAAAGCATTGTAGTGGCATTCTGGTGACCCAGTCTGAATTCCTGAGTCTGCTTGTTTGTTGTCCTTGGATCAATACCTTCCCTTGATAGGGAGTTAAATACTGACTCTGCTAATGAAACTCTTGGAGATGGTCTTAAAGTTTTGATCAGAGAGGCAGGGATGGATGTCACAACCTAAAGGTAGAGGTTCCCTCTGGGAATGTTTTGGCTATTTTTACCACTCCCCACTATGGCACTTGCTTGTCTCCAGGTGGATGACAACAGAAAGCCCTGCCAGGCCAAATGGAATCCCATGAGGAGGGGATAGTGCATGTAGCACCAAGAAAGATCAAACTTGGCTGGTCAAGGCTGCTCACCAGTGACGGCATGTGTGAGCAGCTTCCTTTGGGGGCCTTGTCCTGTGAATGAGCAGAGTAAGTCCAAGTTCTTGAGCTCACAAGGTGCCTCATGGGATAGCTTCAAAGAGATGTTATGTGAATTTCTATGCTGAGAAACTGGTTGCATGGCCTTGGCAACAGCACAAGAATCTGTATTCCAGTTTAAGGAGTTTTTTAAAAAATGTTAGTGCTATTATATTTGTAGCAGTTTAGTCAGATTTGATTTTAGCAAGGTTAATTCTTTGTAGAGGTTGTGTAGAACTTGTTTTTCACTTAACTCTGGACAAACCTGTGTTCTCTTGCCTGTTTTTCTAGTTCAACACATGGAGTGAGAAGCTGAAGCTGTGTAAGACTAACATATGCTTTTAAAATCACTCCTGGGAGCAGGACAGTGGCTTTGGTTCGTGAATGATGTGAACCATTCAGGACAAAGTGATTTGTTAACTCTTGGCAGTGTTGCAGGTGATCCTGTTAATGACCTGTAATGGAAGTTTGAAATTTCTTGTAATTAAATTGATGCTCTAGTAGATGTTGATGGGTAAAAATGGCTTGTATTATTTTTGATAAGAGTTGTGCAACTGCAATGTACTTCTGTGCTGACTAATAGATGCATTTTGTAATTTATATAGCCTGTAGGTCTGAAATAATTAAATAAAAGTATTTTTTATGTATTGTATGTTTTTGTATGAAAGCTTTTGGGGTTACTAGTATGTCATCATCCTTTTCTATCGTCTATGAGCAGCTGTTGATCCTGGGCCTAGCAGGAGCAGATGCAGCAGTCAGCAGCGTGCAGAGCTGTAGACTATAGGTATTGATCAGAAATCAGGAGCTGTTTCAGGAACTGTGGTTATGCACTTTTCTCCTTGGTAGATGAGAGGAGGTTGTGTTGGGTAGCAGTGAAGTTCAGAAACGGTTGTGCTGGTTTTTTTGTATTCAGATCAAGTTACCTGCAGTAAAAGCTAACATCTTGTTTTACAGTGTAGAGCAGTGGGGTTTTTGTCAGGTTGTGCTGTGACTGTATATTGAGTTTAGAGAGTTAGGTATACTCCTGAAATACTGAGGGATTTGAAGAGCCAATTGATGGAGACCTTCAAGGAAAGCTGTCAAGTGCCCTCCTTCACTGGATGGAATGTCCCCTGTGTGAAGGTGACAGAGCAGCTTGCAGATCCATGCTGTGCTGACCATGGTGAGTGTGCACTGGTTATGCAAACTGCTCTGAGAGCACCTTGGGGAGCTGCAGGCCTTTATCTCCTTGTGAGGAGTCTCATAACCTGCTTACCTGCATCCTCTCCTCCTGCCTAGATCCAAGTGCTGCGAGCTTTGCCTTGACCCAGTTTAGACAGCGATGTACAGCAGCCAGATGATAAATGTGAAGAGTTCTTGGACGAAGATTTTTAAATGCTCGCTACCTTGGAGATTGCAGAATGCCATTGTTTTTTTAAATTCACAGAGTAGGCACTGATTTGTGATCCCACTGGTTTTTCTTTAAATAACAGCCACCCACAGCAACAGGATCCTTACAGGTGTGGCTTTGTGTGGTCATCCTGACCTCTGCAGCATTAGGCTGATGATTCTCTAGCAGGGGTGTGCCCAGATGCTCTGGTACATTAATTTGGCCAAATGTGTTTCTTTGATTTGCTTTCACTGTTGTTTTTGGCTTGGCAGCTGTTTGGGGTTATGAGGTTTGAACAAGTGCAGAATGCAGATTTTGATTTGCAAGATGCTGACTGCCAACAAAATAAAGTCTTTCTGCCGCCTTGAATGCTTTTTTGCTAACCCAAGGGATACATAACTTCCTGGTCTTAGTATAATGACAAGCTAAAAATATAAATACTGATGAACTGGTTAGTGATAGATCTTACAACTTAGATAATTTAACCTGTTAGTAGCTAAGGTACTTGTGATAAGTACTGAAGTTTGTTAAAAATGCAGAGATGTGATTGTTAATACTGTCAATAAAACCATCTTAATGCTGGAAACATTAAAATGTAGCAATGATTGGTTTTTTTGGTAGGTTTGGATGGTTTATGGGAATTTTTGCCAAGAAAGACTGGACCAAAACTTCCTGTGGGTATTTCTCTAGCCTGGTATTCTATCACTTCATCATCATTGCTTTTTTTGGAAAGGGAGGATCATTTATAGTTATTTGAATAGCTTGCTGATCGTATTTCTTTTGAGATTTCATCTGCTTTGTGTGTACAGTTTTTAAACTGTGAAAGAACAGTCATTTTCTTGCTTTCTCAAGCCCTGGAATTGTGAAATAATAAAACAAGTTAAATTATCCTTGCTTTTTTTCACATCCCTTCCTTTCTGCACTAGAGATTACGTAGCTACAAATCCCTAGATACTTTTTCAGCCCAACACAGATAAGGGGTGAAACCTTGCATTATTTTTCCTCCAGAAGTTTGCGTTTAACACAGGGTGGCTTGGAAGTGTGTAGGAGCTGGCTCCTAGGATGAGAGAGGCCAACGTGCTGCATTTCTCATTCATAATCCCTTGAGTAATCCTAATCCAGTTGAGATCTGTAGCCTTTATTAAGCATCACATGGTAGAGGATTCTTAAGGCTGCTCATAACTGGGCAATAAATAAATCAAAGTGTCTGCACCAGTTCGGGATTGCATGTGCACACAGACATGGCCTGTTGTGCTGCCTGCCCAAGGGAACACCTTACTTTATTTTTTGGATTCTGAGGAGGAGAATTTGCATTTGTAACTAAAAAAATAGCATCAGAAATCATCGGTCATTTGGGTACTGAACACAACCAAAATTTATCAAGTGAAGAGTTTCAGTTCTGTTTATCTCAACAAATCCATAAATTAGGACTTGGCAAGGTAAGTTGCATTTTCCTTTTTAATTCTTTGCAGCAGGGTTTTGTCTTCAGAAAGAGCTTCAAGTTTGAAGTAAAATATCATTTTTTGTATGCCAAGGTGTAGAAAACTGCATTTGGGAGTTTTGTATCTGTAATTCCCCTTTTTGGCGTTGCAATAGCTGTGTTGTGGGTATGTGTTTGAAATACAACACGCTTCACCGTCTTGTTTGCAGCTACGAGTGGTGCCAGGTCTGATGTGCACGTGGGCCATACCCCTAGGTATTTACTCTGAGGCAAGGTAGGATTGTTGCTTTCCCTAGTGCCTGCTAGCATTTTTTCCCTTGGAAGAAGTATTTGATTGGTTTTTAATTAATGTGTAGCTCTTAAACTCTTGCTGTTTTTCCTTTTAGCAGAACTTGTTCCCTTCAACATCTCTTTTAGGTTTTTCCCTAGTAAACTTTCTAGTCTGTTATGTCCTCCTGTTGCCTTCCCTGTTCTGCTCACCTGTTTCCTCCATTGCTGGAATGCCTATAAAACTGTCAGGTTAGTGGGCATCCTATCCATGATACAAGAAGTGTCACCTTTGCTAGGAGCAGGCTTTCACATGAGCTGAGTTATTTCCTGTGGGTCGAGGACCACATCCTGCAAATGTCTGATGTGCACAAGTTCCTTGTGTGTAGGATTTGGTTCAGAATGCTGTCCTTTGCTTTGGTTTTGGAGAAGTAGGCTAAGTCAGGAAATTTACCTAGGCTTTTGTTGTTTGTGTTTTGGGGTGATTGACTCGAGTGGATTGGTGTAAGGTTTCCTTTCCTGAATTTCCTGGGGCACCAGGTGGTGTTACTGAACTTGTGTTTGAGGAGTTTCAAGAACTGTTACCCAATGGCTTGGGAAGTGCATGGATTATTCTGGCTGCTGTGTCTCTCTCCTGCCTGTGAAACATTACCTCTGGTGGTCAGGCTATGTCCATTTTCTCTGTGTGTGCATGGCCTTCCCCATAAGCCGTGAACTTGGTGTTTCACAGATTCTGTGTCCATGTGGGGCTCTTGAGTCCGTGACTTTTTAGTGGTGGTTTAAATGTGTGCAGTGGCTTTTGTCACCTGCCTTTACCGTGTGTGTGTGTCTGCTGGCAGGCACTGTGCTGTGGTGCATACCAGGGACTGCCCTGTGTGAAGGAGGTGTGAGGAAAGCCTGTTCCAGAGAGAAGGAAATATCTCTGTGGGAGAGGACTGGCAGACAAGAGCAAGATGAGGAAGGGGTGGTTGGTAGCTGGCTGTTTGCTGTCTGGATCATGTTTCTCACCTGGAAGTTTCTGAAGTGATGCTGCTGCTGCTCAGTTCATCCTGTCTTGGAGGTTGTGCCTTGATGCCTCTGTTTCTCTTCTATTTTTCAGGTACAGGAATTTAGGAAGGGAAGTGTTGGATGGATGAGGAAGGATCCAAGGTGCTTGTTCTGTTTCTTCCTCAGTCTTTCCAGCCTTGGAACAGGTTTGATTTCATTGGAGCCTGATTTACTCCTGTGCACTCCTTTGCTCAGGTTGTGCCCCTGACAAAAAAATCTGAGGGCAACAAATGTAAAAGTTCATGGCTCCAGGAACTGCTTTGGAGGAACCTGTTGATAAGCCTTTCCATAATATGATAATTAGGGCAGACTAACATTAGGTGATGCCTCCGTATGGATGGCTGATATGTGTTTAAAGTAGGGCTGCCCTAATAATAAATACCTGTTTACTTTGTAGGGAGAGAAGGAGGTAAGAAAAGAACTGTTGTCAAAGGTGCCATCAAATCCAAGGTCAGGGGTACCACCTGCCTTTTTCAAAGCAGGCAAGCAGTATGAAGGTCACATTTTATCTAAGTAGGCAGGTGGTACCACTGAACACACCTTCAGCAGGCAAAGTACTGAACACCATATTTGAATGTTTGCTTCAGATTTGTTCTCCATTGTTTTACAAGTAATCTAGAAACGTTCTAGTTCCTGGGAGAGGGGCCAATGCAGAATGAATAACTTATATCATTGCTTCTCTGGAAAGTGTTAACTTGCTGAATCCTCAGATCTGTGTTAAGTGAAATTTTGGTTTGGATAGGCCAGATGGGCCTACGCTCAAAAGTTGTCAACCTTTTCCTGAGTTCCAATTTCCCTGGTACAGGAGGTGACAAACAAGAGCTAAAACTGGTGCATTTTGTCTGCACTTGTCCCTTGGAGCAGTTAATAATGTGGAAAGCTGTCAGAGTACCTGCATTATTTGAGCACAAAGAAGGTGAAGCACGAGGTAAAACTGGGTGTAATTTGGCAGCTATTTCAGGCATTTTGTGACATTGGTAAGACACATGATTGTTAGAATAAAACAAGGGTGTAGATATTCTGCTGAGAGCATTGCAGTGCACCCTGTTGTCACCCACTCGTGGCACTGTGAGGATGCCATTGTACAGCTGGGCATCCTGGGTGAGGGACAGAGAATTCCAGCCTTGGCTGTGCTTTAAAAGCTCCCTGTGCTGTGGCTGAGCAGGGCTCACCTTCCTGAGCAAACACGGATTGCTCACCTTACACAACACCGGACGTGCTCCTTCAATTAGTGTTTGTGTGGATCTGAGCTATTTTGAGAGGGTTAGGTGGAGAGGGATAGGAGGCAAAAGGATTGCAGGAAGTGAGGAAAGGAGGAGGTTTCTTCTCCTGGGTACAAGTGCCTCTGTAGTTCATCTGTCCTGACCTCTCAAAATACTTTCAGCTGTGTTCTCCTGCCAACACCAGTCCTAACATTTTTACAGGTGTTTATTTCCTTCCCTCCATTTCGCAGCTTTCCCCACCATGAATTTCAGAAGAAGATAAAAATCTGTTGAAATCTTCAGTGATACAGCCTGGGGCTGCTTTGGCAGTATTATGTGACTGTTCATTTTCCAGAGGAAATATGTCTGACTGTGAAGGGCAATTTGGTTATCCTCAACTCCTTCTGAGTTTGACCTAATCTTGCATTAGGATCTGTTTACTCTGACCAGAGCTGCCACAGCAGTGAGGTTAAGTCTGCATGTCTGTCCTTTTATACTGGCAATTGATGGCATAATAAGCTCCCACACTTGAGCAGATGCATGAGATGAAGGCAAGCAGTGTTTAACAAAGCTGGTTATTTTCTTCTGGTAGCTAATTGTTATTTTAGACTCAGCTTCCTGCTAGCTGTGGTCAGATTAAATATCAGGTGTGTGTTCATCCCTCATAATGAGTTATCCTTTACAGGGTGAATATTTGTCTGCACTACAAAATATTTGTCTGCACACACTGCTTCTTAATGACTTTTTAATGAATTAACAGTATTAAAAACTAAACAGTATTAAAAAGCTTTTTATCTGTTTGCCAAACAATCACAGTACCTATTGTTATGCAAGTAGCTAAAGGTGCTGAACTGATTCCTGTTAATAAAGCTCACTTGAGATGTGAAGCAGTGAGACAGAAGTTTTCATCTGCTTGTCTGGGATTAGCTGGAGAAACCTGGTAGTGGAAAATGTACTTGGGCACAAGACAGGCCATCTGATCATTAATATTAAGTGTTAATATATTTAATTGTAGATTCTTGGCGCTGTGGGACGTGTTGCAGCTGTTTTGATTCTGACCAAATGGTCTTCCCTGCATCTCGTTTGTGGTTTTGGTGACACTGGGCCAGTCTGCAACGTTGGAGCATTGGTTGGAGAACATGGGATCTGGTAGTTCTGTAAATATCCAGTACAAGTACTCCCTGCAGAAGTCTGAAAGTGGTGAGTGAGTCATGGAAAAGCGATCTTCTCTTGTTTTGTCCTGCATGTGCTGTGGGGAGGTTGCAGTGAATGTGTTTATCCTCTTAGTTACCTGTTTTTTTTAATAGCATTGAAGTGAGCATCTTTCAGTATCCTGTGAGAAGAGTTCTCAGGTGTCAGGCAGAATACAACAGGGATGAGGAAATAATAGCAATTTAGGCGAGGAGTAGGTTAAAATCTAACCAGAAATGAAGCAGCAATTAGGACCAACCTGCTGGATTAAACACTTGCTGCGTAGTGCAGGTTTTGTTTCTGCTGACAGTGAGACAGTTGTTACCCTGCTAGTTTTCCTGGATTATTTTCCAAGGCTCTTACTGGTGCAAGTCTGATTGAGCAGATGCATTAGCAAAACCAAAATAAATCTGGTTATAAAGATAGTGAAACAGTGTGGCTATGAAAAGCTGTAAAACAAAAAGTGTGCATTTTGTCTAACTAGATCAGCACAGTGCTCTTCATCTCTGCTAATAATCTAATTTGTTTATGGCTCTCAAAGCTGTGGTGATTTACTTTTATGAAGCCCTCTGTAACGGTGTCAGTTTTGTGGGTGTGTGCCTGTGTCTGCTGTGGAACAGAGGGAGTTGATGAGGAAGACCTTAGATGTAAGGAAGAGTTAAAAAGTAAATCAACGGTTTTTACTTTGTTGTTTGAATCATGTAGTCCTGGGCACTGGCAGAACAGCATGCTGCGACAAACCATTTGCAAGTTGTTGGAAAATAAAATATGGATTGAAACTGGGGACAAGTTTGTGACTCAGACTTGTGCTTGTTACTGTTGAAAAACTATTTAAGTTACACTTACCTGTCATCCACCACCCATAGCACCAGCAGTCCATGGCCTTTTCCAACAAGCTCATGGTTATTTTAAGATGATCAAGTGTAACACAACACTAGTTACTTATTAGAAACCTTGTATTACATCTGATACCTCAGCAACAGTAGCCCACTGCAGTAAAGCCTCCGGGAATTTCTAGCCTTAGGTTCTCAACACCCTTCAGATCTGGCCATCTGCAGCAGGGTAGCTGCTTAGGACATTATCCCCAAATGCAGTGTGCCAGATGTCATCCCTTTGCTCCCTGCACGAGATCTGCAGGCTGTTTGCAGTAGAAAATGCTGTTCAACTGGCCCTGCCTTGGAGTGAAGTCTGGTTTGAGTGCTGCCACTTTCATATGCTTGCAGCAGCTTATGTGATAGATGGTATGGTTCATCATAAAATGTGGCTAAGTCTTTCTCTTTGTTTTTGTTTTGTTGGTTTTTTTTTCCCCAAACTGATACTAACACTGCCAGGTATAAATCCCCGGGTAAGCTGCTAAATTACAATACCAGGCTTTTTCAGTTGCAGAGTTGGTCTCTGTAAAAGCAGAGTAAACACTTAAGCGCTGTGGATGGTGGTATTTATGTTAACTGTGCACTTGACAACATGTCTTTGATAGGTTTAATTTTTACTGTTTCAAAAGTTGTGGTTTTCATTGGTATGCATGGAGTCATCACAAGGAATTTTTTCAAAGCCCAGCAGATCAGTGTTTTCTCACCAAGACAGAAGGCAAAGAATACAGAAGTTACTCCTGAGTTAAGGCTTGCCAAATCTTACCTTCTTGCCCACAGCTTTAGGGTGTCTCATACTCCTGCTGAACAGCAACTGTAGATCTTCCTTTTTTGTGCTCTGTAATTCCCAGTGCTGAAAGAGAATCATAATTTAAAATATTATTTTTAATATATAATCCATAGAGATACCTTCTTTAGGGAAAGGTCACTGTTTCCTGCTGAGGTACCTGGAGGGCCATTTGTTGTGTAATGAATGGGCCATTTGTTGTGTAATTAGTGCAAACTGATGGAGTTAATATGGTGTCTCTGTCTCTTGCCAGTGTATAGCAGCCTTTGGGTAGAGGTGAGGGATTTTCTTCTTTTGAATGAAGGTTTTCCCACACACCTGCCATTGCTCTCGCTGCTTTGGTGAACATGGCAAGGGAATATACCTTTTGCAGCAGGCCTAGTTCCCTATCTCTGTTACTTTCCTTGGATTTTGAAGCCAGCCTGTGGATACAGCACTCATCCCTTTCCCCCCTCAGCTAAAGGTGATGGAGAATCAGTGATAGAAGGTGTTTTAAGTATAGGGCTCACAGGTGGGCTCCAGAAAGGAACAGGAAGGCACACAGTGTAATCCAAAGAGAGATGCCAAGTAGCAGAGCTGGTCCAAATGGGATCAAGGCCAGCTAAGGAGGATGAGAGATTCTAGAGGTACGTAAAATTCTGTGGCACAACTTGAAAAAGGGAATGTTTAACTGCACCAATGTACTTCAATTGAAATGTGCGCACATCCCATCTGAAATCATCTTGGAAGGGAACACACTGGAAATGGGACAATACAGAGGCTGTGTTTTAAAGATCAATGGGCAGATGGCCATAAATTGGTGGGAAATAGCTGGTGTCAGCCCTGGCTGTGGTTTCAATCTCAATCAGGCACCTGAAAATTCTGGCATCTTGTTCATTCTGTGCCATTAAATGGCCAAAGTTCTGCTTCCCCTTTTTCACAGTGGGTGTAGCTTTGTCTTTATTTTATTGTAAGGTGATGCTATGTTGATATTAATGCTGCAATAGGATCCTTCTTGCACAGTTGCAAAAGCTGAGGTTTTTATTTCTCATAAAGAGAGGTAGAAAATCCCCATATTTCTAAGGCTCTAGAGGAAACTTTGTATCCTGTCTTCCCCCAAGTCCTTGCATGGCCTCAGTTAGATTTCTGGTTTCCTGAAGCCCCAGCTCCTAGGGATGGTAACATGGACATAAAAATTATCATGGTAGGTAGGAAGTGAGGATATTATCTAATAATATTGAAGAGCATGTTAGGGCTTTTAGGCCCTAATACTTCATGGTTCACGCTGGTGCTGAGGAACCAGCAGCAGTGGTTGCAAGTGCTTCAGAGGCCTCTGGTCAGGTCAAGCTCTTGCAAAAATAAAGGCAAAAAGAAGAGGGTCTTTTTGCCCTTAGGCACAAGAGTACAGTTCCTGGAAACTTTTTCCTGAAAAGGATATGTTCTCTTCCATGTTCAGGGGTGGGGAAGGAGCTGTTGCAGGTGCCTCAGCTGCAGGCAGTGCTGCTCAGCAGCTTGGTTCTGTTGTTGTCCCCCAGCTTTCAAGGCAGCTGTCTTGATCCAGCAATGGTATCGGCGCCACGTGGCTCGGCTGGAAATGCGCCGCCGCTGTACCTGGAGAATCTTTCAATCCATTGAGTATGCCTGTGAGCAGGATCAGATCCAGGTATGGTGCCAAGGAAAAGAGAAGGTAGGAAAACGCACGGGAAGGTGGTTTCTGTGCCAGACTCTGGCTTTCTGACTCTGGCTGGTAACCCTCTAAGTGCTTCAGTGGGCAGGGTTTCCTACCTCGTTTTAACCTATGGATTCCCTGCCTGCGTATGTTGCATAAAACACGAAGTGATGAACCTCAAAAGCGAGCCATAAGAGCCATTTAACAGGGCTTTTCTGGAGTCTGAACACAATAAGCAAGTCTATTTGGTTTGCTACATTTTAACTGGGATTGAAGTTCTCTTACATGGCTGACTCCTCTCAGCGGGAGAAGGGGCTCATTGCATCCTTGTGCCTGTGGCTGAAGGTAAAGTCACAGTTTTGAATTAATATCAAGATAGTCAAAACTTAATTTGGTACAATGAGAGTTGCTGTACATAGCAGACAGCATGAGAAGGGCAGAGATAATACTTCCAGAAAGATGATGATGATAGGTTGCTACTCGGTTGAATTTAATTCTGGGGTGAATGATGGGCTCTCCCTCTTCCTGCAGCTTCACAACTTCTTCAGTTACCTCATGGACCAGTTCACACCAAGCAGCAGCAAAGAGAGTAAGTGTGTGTGCTATTGTTAGATGTGGCACCAGCAGTTCCAAAGGCTGCACCTTGTATTATTCATTGCCCAGTGCTGGGCAATCTTCAGAATAGCACATGTGGCCAAGAGTCTCAACAGTGATGGCATCAGGAATAGAGTGAATTGCCTGGAGACTATGAGCTGTGCAAGGGATGGGGGGTAATTCCTGCTCTTAGGAGCTGGATAGAGGCATAAAAGTTGAGTATTTTTTCACAGAATCACAGAATGGTGCACAGTGCACATGGAGATTGGTCTCTGCAGCCTTTCCCTTGCTGCAAGATTTGTAGCAGTGCTGAGCAGCAGGCTGCAACTGCTCCCGAGAGCCAGCCTAAGTAAACAGCTCTTCTGTAGCAAATTACTGATAGAGGTAGAATGATACCTGGAGCCAATTAACCTCTTTTTTGTTTGTTTCTCTCTTTTTTAATTTTTTTTTAAAAAAACCAACCCCACTTATTGGCTGTCCAGGGGATTTTATCAGTCGCATGTTGATAAGCGGGGAGAGTTACAAAGAGGCAGAGTTGGAAAAGTACTGTGACTATGAATCCATAGAGGTGCCAGACTCCTACACCGGACCCCATCTCTCTTTCCCTCTCCTCCCTGACCATGCCACGGCCTTGCTGGAAGCTTTCCAACAGAAACAAGTAAGGATCCCAAAAGGGACCATGTTTTTCCCTTCTCTGAACAAGGCTGTAGGATAGATGATTTGGTCTTAGCTTTCTTACCAAGCTCAGCTGGCTGGCTGCTAATATGGGGCTGGAAACTATGTGGTATTTCCTAATGCCATGGAAATGTTCTTTTTTTTGAAAATATACTCCTAACAAAACCAAATACTTTATATATAGGGGTGTATCAAGATTAACCCGAGTTTTATTTTTTAAGGGAAAAATTAGCAACATGTCATGTTAAAACTTTTCACCGTTGTTTGTTTGAATTTCTCAATTTGTAAATAAGTATAGGATGGCCCAGAGAGAAACAGCCAATTACAGTGTTTTGTGCTATGCAACTCTGATTTAAAATGTAAACTGTGAGATTTTTTTGATGAGGAAGCTGAGTACCGCTCCTGCACTAACAAGACAAGTCCTGATCCAGCTGCAGTGTTCTGCTGCCATCCCTCAGCTGATGTGCTTGAACTCCAAAACAGGCCAAAACACCCCTTCTCCAAAGAGAGCTCATAAACCAAAGCTATCTCATATCCCAACTGTATTAAATGCCTACACCCTGGCTTTGAGCATCTCTATCACTGCAGGATATGTGGAAACTCACAGCCTTGTTAAATGTGGAAAAGCTAAGAAGGCTCTAGAGGAGCGACTTCTTACCTGTGATATTGGGCTGGAATTTCAGCTGCTCCTGGAGGTGATGTGGCCTAGTGGGTATAGCCTTGTCCACAAGGTATGCTGGGGCTTTAGGGTTGCTTTGCCAGCCCTCTCAGTGCTGAGGCTGAGCTGCATTGGGCAAGTGTCTGCCATCCTGCAGTTTGCCAATATTTCCCTCATCTTGTTTGTAAGCCCATAGGTCAGCACAGACTGCCATCCCAGGGAGAGTTTCTGCCATCCAGGCTATCCTGGTAGAGTCTTTGCAGCCACAGTAGTGCTGCTCAGAGGCCACTGATTTCCTGCTTTAATCCCTTCACTTTCTCCCAGTAGCAGCTCCATGCTCGCTATGTCTTAAACCTCCTGCACGAGACCAGGAAGCACCTCAAGCAGTTGCCAAACATCAGCCACGTCTCCACCTGCTACAGCGAGGAGGTCACCGTGTGTGGTGGGTCCCTTGCAGCTCCTATGGGAGGGTGGGACAGAGAGAAAATGATAGTGAGAGCACGATGCCTCCTTCTGTACTGAACTTGGAACACAAATGCTCTCTATAAGCTGAGTGTGTGATGACTTGAGAGGCAGCTGGCTCTGTCTGACATACCCAGGTGACCTTTTTTCTCTCACCCCAAACTTGGAGCTGTTTTATTAAATGACAGAAACCACACCCAGCTGAGGACTGGTCACAGAACTTGGTAGTGGTCTGACCTGTCCTGTGGTCTGGGATTTTTTCAAACAACAAAATCCTGGAGCTGTTCTGGGTGAGCACCAGCAAATGCATGCAGATCCAGAATGTTATCGCATCTTTGCATCCTATAAGTAAATTTGAGACCAAGCTTTTTACTTTTTTCCTACTCTGACTAATGTTAAAATATTAAGATATTTCTGCAAAATACATAGCCCAGACTTTTGCATGCTATCAGCCTCTGGAAAACCTCTCTCTGCAATATTGTGTTAAATGAGAATTAAATTGTTATGTGGAATGCAAAGCTTTCTCCCATGTAATACCAATCTTGTGCAGTGCTGTGCCATCACAGGAGATAAATGAAAGAAGTTTCTAAATCAGTCTTCAGCAAATGGTGTAGGATTTTTTACTGCACTTCTCAGACTTCAGCTCAAGCCTTACATCGTCTCCTTTTCCTCTAGGCTTGCAATTCCCTGTAGTGGAATGTACCCCATTCTCAAAGTATTTCAGTGGGAATTAATTTATAAAGGATGTATGGGTGGGTTTTTTTTGAGTTCAAGGTAAATATGCTGTGACTTGTCTCTTTGTGCCTGCTAGGAGATTTGCACGGCCAGCTGGATGACTTGTTCCTCATCTTTTACAAGGTAGGCACCAAATTTGGAGAGGGAGGCTGTCCAGGCATTGCAATGGGTATCCCATGGGTCGTGTTGAGAAGCATTTGCAAAATTGGGTCATTTGTGTACAATTCCCCAAGTCAATTTGATTTGTTTTAAATGGCTTCACAAATCAGTAGCTTACTCCCTTGCTGACTTGGAAATCTGATATCCATGTCATTTTTATTACTGCCAATGGGTCTTCTACTGCTGATACCGATGATAAACCTTTGTGACTGCCAGTTTCACTGCTGGGGCCCACAGGATAAATATGAGCAGGGATCTGTTGTAACCTGGGACCAGGAGCGAGTGACTGCAGCTGGGGGGAGGGCATATGGACACCTTGGGGAGGCCTCTCTGGTGATATCTGCCTGTTCTTTCTCTTACAGAACGGCCTTCCTTCCCCTTCCAAGTCCTACGTGTTCAATGGGGACTTTGTAGACAGAGGCAAGCAGTCCCTTGAGATCCTTGTTATCCTCTTTACCTTCCTCCTGATCTATCCCAAGGAGGTTCATCTCAACCGCGGGAACCATGAGGACCACATGGTGAACTTACGGTATGGCTTCTGTGCAGGGCTGAGCACGACGTCGAGGGCGTTGTGCAAAATCCCACTCAGCTTCCTTTCTCCTGTTCCTTTAGCTATGGTTTCACCAAGGAAGTGATGCAGAAATACAAGGTAGGCCGATGTTTGTGTCTCCTTTACCATGTGAGACAAGTGTTTAAAAGACTTGATGCTTTATCTTTTTTTTACTTTTGCTCAGGTGCATGGGAAGAAAATCTTGAAGATGTTTCAGAATGTATTCTGTTGGCTGCCCCTGGCCACCCTGATTGATCAGAAAGTCCTCATTATTCACGGGGGCATCTCTGACACCACTGACCTGGACATGCTTGAGAAAATTCAAAGGGACAAAGTAGGTTTTATTTCCCAGTTATTGAAAAGACAAGTGTTGCTGATTTGTGGTGGGGAGCTCATTTCTGCATGTCATCTTGGCTGTTGATGAGACAAATCTAAGAGATGGTCTTCCTAGAGAAACTTGTGTTTAGGTGTAGGTTTTGGTTTGTTAGTGTGTGTGTGTGCACGAGCTGTGACAGGATGAAGCACTGTTGGTTTCTGGAATATGTGCTGGTGCTGAAGTAAAAACAGTGATGATGAGACGTTGTCCTGCTTATCCTCCCCTTAGCCTGCTTTTACCCCCTAGATTTCCAGAAGGATTTTGATAAGTCATTTAACTTGTCTCTGCCTCACTCTCTAGTTGGGCTATATCACTTTCCTTCTCCAAATATAATGACAACTCTTGTATTAGTCACTAATGTTTCCTTTGCTCTGCTGCACAGTTGCCATTGCAGATGAAATCTGTGTGCCTGAAGTCAATGAGGGAAGAGTGAGATGTGATGGATGTAGGGCCCAGCTGTAAACCCAGGATGGCTTGTATGAGAGGATGGCACTAGTAGTTCCCCACAGTCAAGCAGCAGCTGATGGCAGAAGGGAGTGGGGCCTGGGGGCTTGGATCACTTCAAGGCTGCCAATATTAGAAGGTGTTAGAGCTGGAGATCTGGGTTTTCATGCTGTGTTACCAGCTCCCTTTCTCTCACCTCTTTCAGTTTATTTCTGTGTTAAGGCTGAAGAAAAGAAAGGAGTCGAGCAGAAAAGCAGAACTACAGGCCATAAATGGTGAGAGGGAATCAGGCATTGATGCAGCAGGGAATGAGGCAGCTCCCAGGTTATCCCTGCAGCCCCAGTCAGCCCAGGCTCCCAGCACAGCCAACAGGCTGGAGTTCACCAGGTGGCTCCGGCAGACGGTGCAGGAGCAAATCGACACGTGCCGCCGGCTGGTGGACATCAGTGAGTCAGAGCCCGAGGAGCTCACCTATTCCAGCATGGTCTCCTTGAAGGGTGCGGATGATGAGCCGTGCTGGAGTCGCCAGGAGGAGTGGAAGCAGGTGAGGAGTCTAAGCAGGGTCCTGAGCTAGGTGTGCTGTGGGTGCCTCCTGCAGCAGCTGGCCCTTCAGTGGGAGGTGACCAGGAAAGGCTGCTCTGTGTGGCTGGGGGGATGTTTTGTTGGGTCCCTTTGTTACTTTCTGAGAGGAGCAGCTGGGGACTTCCTTTCCAGCCTGAGAGTCTCTTCTGTGTGCTCTGAAACCACCGTTACTTGACATTAAATGTGACTTTACAGCACTGCACACCTTTTCACCCTAGCACTATATATTGATGTCAGGGTTAAAGAAATTAAGCTTTAATCCAAACAGTGGTTACTGGGTCAGCACTTGTGTGTCTAGAGGCTGCAGAATGTCCTGGCTAGAGACCAAAGGCATTTGATACTGAGCCTGCTAACAGCCACAGGATCTGCTGGTTGTTCTTGCCCTGGGACTTGTGTTTTGGGATAGAGGAAGACAGATAAGGCTCTTGGGCATCTTAATGCTAGCAAAGGCAGCCTGTATCAGGCCTGACCTATGCATCTCTCTTTCCCCAGACACTTTGGATGTGTGTGTAGCTCCTGGCCAACAATATTGCCACTTGTGAGGTGGCCCAGGTCTGTGACAGTCTTTGGCTGGAATGCAAGAAACATGTCTCCTATGGTTATAGCAGCAGTCTAGGGAGGGATTCAGTGATTCAGTGAACTTAGCAGTCCTTTCAGGTTTTAGACATCCTCTGGAGCGACCCCACGCCTCAGGAGGGCTGCAGAGAAAATAAGGTGCGAGGTGGTGGATGCTACTTTGGGCCTGATGTGACAGAGAAGTTCCTTGAGAAGTACAGCTTGCAGTTCCTGATCCGCTCTCACGAGTGCAAGCAGGAGGGCTACGAGTTCTGCCACAACCGCAAGGTCAGTTGGGGGTGGTGTGAAGGATACTTGGGTTTCCATGCTCCCAGGACAGGGTTTCTGGGGGAGTGACTTGTCTCAGTTCTGTATTTCTTCCAGTGGGGCTCTAAGCACATGTAAAATCCTTGAACAGGCTTAGTGGGAGTTAACTGAAATGTTTTCCATCCTAAGTCTTAGTTCAGGGCAATCTGAAGCCACCTGCTCTGCTGGGGACGTGCCTGTGCAGGCAAACAGTGTCTTTGTGTGTGGTGCTTGAGAACCCACTTGTGCCATGGCCCCACTTAGTGCAGCTGCTGTTGCAGATGTGCTACAGAAGGGTGTTACTGAGCTTGCTGCAGGTCAGTTCTGTTCTCAGAAGATTCAGAGTCAGGTCAGTGGCTTTGTCAGGGCACTCAGACTCTGGAGAGAGGAACTGATGGGCGAGAGCGCAGAATTGCAGCAGCCCAGCATGTGGCCAGATGCACGTCTAACTGGTGCCACCCATGAGGAACTCACACCTGCGAGGCTTCCAGGCCAGCTGCCACCTGACTCTCCCTCTTCTCTGTAAAGATGTAAAAGATGTAAAAAATGGTGTATTCACAATCTGTTCCTTCTGGAGGGGATCAAGTGAGTTGCTGTCACATATATAAATATTACAGGATGTATGTACTGACTGCAAATGCCTCTTTTTTTGGGATTAGGTGTTGACCATCTTTTCATCCTCAAACTACTACGAGATTGGCAGCAACAGGGGAGCCTATGTGAAGCTGGGACCAGACCTCATCCCCCACTTTGTTCAGTACCAAGCAAACAAGACAGCCCATACGCTCAATATGACCCAAAGGCAAGGCTTTCCAGTTGCTCTCTTTGCCAGGTCAAAATTTCCAAAGGGGATACTTCATGCGCTTTTACGGAGTTTGACCCTGAAGATGAACTTTCACAGCTTGATTTTCTAAAGAATAGCTTCTAAAGGAGGGATCAAGCTTTGTACTTGAAGTTGCTCAAGACTTGAGAAGGGAATGTTAACAAAATTCCAAGGGGATTTTTCTCAAGGTTGCTTGTTTTTCAGCTTTTTTATGCCAGGTTTTAGCTTTTGACCTTTTTCTGAGGTTCTTTTTAGCTTTGTTGCTTCACAAATGAATGCAGGGTCTCCTGGCATCAGCTGCAGGGAAATGCCCTGGGCACGCTGTGCCTTGTCACAAGCACTGAGATGTAGCTGAGCAGAGCAGTTGTGTGAGGGTCTGGGCAATCCATGAACAAACCAGGTAGAACACTGGGAGGGAAGGTGCAGTTCTCCTTGTGATTCATGGCAAGACCTTCAAGTGCTTCTCTCTGTTCTGCATCCCCCAGAATAAGCAGAGTAGAGGAGTCAGCCTTTCGAGCCTTGCGGGAAAAGCTCTTTGCTCACACCTCAGCCCTCATCAGTGCCTTCAAGGCCTACGACGGGGACAATACAGGTAACTCAGAGCTGAGGGGCGTGTGGGTTCCTTGCCTGGTTGGATAGGGCTGAAGTGACTGAGTTTGTGGCTGGCTGGGAGACTTCTCAGGGACAGTTGTCACAGGGAGGCTCTATCAGACCTTGCCAGAGGTCATTTGCTGTTACTCAGTCTCTGTGGATGCCTCTGAGTGACACCATAAAGTGGGGGTGCTGGAAAAGCAGGACATCATGAGCCTAATGTGTAGCAATCGAGGCCGGTCCTAGAAGAGCTCCTTGCAGCTGAAATACTGATGAAGCATTGGAAAAGAGAACCTGGAACATGTCTGTGTCACTTGAGAAGGGTTGCGTGGTCTGTAGAGCCTCCTCATCCCTGGAGGGGGATCACTGGGAAGAGCAAAGCAAGCGATGTCTTCTGTGGCAGTTGTTTCTTGTCAGAGCCTGAAGGAAGGAGTGGAGAGTTCTTACTTCTCTGGCAGACAGGAGTGCTGTGTTGGTGCAGTGACTGAGAGGTGTTGCTGTCCACTGGTGGGCTGGGGGTCAAAAAGTGGCTGGCAGAGCTGCTCATGGGGAGAATTGTGCTCTTCATGGGCAGCAAAACTGTTCACAGGAATCCAGCTCAGTTGTTACAGCAGCTGCTAAAATGGGCAGTGGGCTGCAAATTTCTAATCAAATACCCATAGTCAGTGTCTTGCCTTTGTTCAGATGTTGGCAGCCTCATAGCCTCAATTTGTTGCAATGATAAAAAGCTTGCTGAGGCTTGGGGGCGGTGTGCATGCACCTGCACTGCAAAATTAACACTGTGCTGTCAGCAGCACCTAGACTGTCTATGTGTCACTGTTCCAGGCTTTCTTTGCCTTGACATGCTTTCCCCTACCTGTGTCCCAGAGGTGTCTCCCTTTTCCCTGCAGGAAGGATCACTCTGAGCAACTGGGCGACAGCAGTGGAGTCGGTGCTGCGGCTGGGGCTGCCCTGGCGAATGCTGAGGCCGCAGCTGGTGCGCAGCACCGAGGATGGAATGCTGGAATACAAATCCTGGCTGGATGACCTGGCCATGGAGCAGAGGAGCCAAGAGGTAAGCACTCACCCCCTTCCATCAAAGCACAATGTGACCAACTGCTCACCAGATCCCCGGCACGTGCACACCAACTATGGTGCAAAAGGGCAGTGGACGGTTCCTGCATAATCCAAAGCCACGCTAAAGTTGATAGGAAGTCTTGCCTGAGCTCTAATAGTCCTGAGGCACTCAGCCCATTTTACAAATAGATGATGGATGCAAAAGCAAAATTTTGAGGTAGTTTTGGATGCAGGCTTTTGAGTAGGAGAACTATTCCACTCTCCAAGTAGCAGTTTGTTAATTATGCCCAGCAAACGTAACTCCACAGTGGTTATAAAATGCAGCCTGGCTCGCTGTTAGCCCAGGAGAGGGCTGTTGGGAAGGGACAAGTTGCCCATGGTCTGTTCTACAGCTGCGCAAAGGGTCCAGTTGAGGGTCCACACCCCTGGTTGATAAGGCCAGGGCAAGTTCTGGAGAGCAAAAAATATTTGTGGAGACATCTGCAGTAACAACTCAGAGAGCAGAGGTGTCAGGTGGATGAAAACTGTCTTTGTGTCTTTCAGCACATCCAGTCAAGCTTGCTGGAAGTCATTTATCGAAACAGATCCAACTTAGAGACCATATTCAGGATCATAGACAGAGACCATTCAGGTGAGCAGGGGGTGTTGATCGCTGCCTTGTGTTCCCTTGTGCTTTGGAGCTGCCTTTAGTATGTCTAGAGGTGGTTTTGTTTAGGCTTGGATCCTCCTCCTCCCTCCCATGATTCTGAAATGTCTATTTGCCTCTCTGCTGCTGGAAGCTGTGTTTTAGCCAGTGATCTCCACATCAGGAGATGCAGCTGCAGCATCTGAAATGCTCCTCCACAGGTCTCATCTCCTTTGAGGAATTCCAGCAAACCTGGAAGCTGTTCAGCTCCCACATGAACATTGAACTCACGGATGATGGCATTAACGACTTGGTTCGCAGCATTGATTTTAACAAGGATGGCAACATTGACTTCAACGAGTTCCTGGAAGCCTTCCGCCTCGTCAAACAGTGCCCGGCGTGAGAACCTGCTCAGGGTTACCACGTCCCATGCCTTGATTTCCACAACGCCAGGACTGCCTGACCTAACATAGAGGGTGCCTGCAGATGGCAAGCAGGGAAAGGGAAGGCAGGTGCTTAGAACAGACCGTCACTGACCCATCTGGGGAAGGTAACAGGTGAAACAGATGAGCTGCGCTTGAGTTCGGGCTGTTCTTAAAAGAAGCTGTGTTTTAAGTAGTTTCCTGCTCAAAGGGAAGATGCAACTTAGCTTCTCTTGGCAGTGTGAGGAAAGGTTACAGGTATTTTCAAAAAGCAGTGAAGTGGAAGTTGAAGTATTGCTTGTAGGCAGTGTTTTAAGGAGGTAGCACCTCTTTGATCACAGCTTTCCTTTTAATAAACCATTTTTTCTAGATTGCTGTTGTTTGGCTGTTCATTTCTTCTCTAGTTAATTCTGGGAGCAGCAGTGCTGCTCCAGTCATGATCCCTACTTCCCTGCTCATGTTCCTGTGTGATGGTAAGCTTGTTCTGGAAGTTTGGAGCTACTAAGTATGTGCAGTAGAGCAGGATCTTGGGAAAAATACCTCAAATGTGCAACACTGTCTCTAGCAGAGGGACTAGGAAATCAGGCAGGAATCTATTGAGATAATTTCATTTTCAAAGGCCAGGGCAATAGATGAATAGATGAAGCTCCCTGCTAGGGAGCCTATGATGCACATTCAAGTTATTTTCAAAGCATATCAAGACTGCATAAAAGACTGCAGCTTGTGAGGTGGGGTAGTGTGAAGAGTTGGCAAAACAAGAAACAACGTGTTTCTCAAATGGAAGCATCCCAGTCCAGCAGGCAGAAGACTTAAGACTGCTAGCCCGGCCCCCAAGAGAGAATTCCAGTCTCACTGAATTTCTTACCAAGCTTGTTGCCCAGTGCAGACAGTTTAGTAACTGGAACTAAGCTTCCAAAAGGAAACTAATCCTGTTTCCCCTTAACTAGAGTTCTACATATGCTTTTTCAATTGTAATGGAAACATGCTTCCACAAACACACTCAAAATGCACAATGCAGGTCCCAGCACATTGCAGCTATATTTCTATTTTTCTATCCTTCAAATTGAATGAATGGAATTAATTTTGATGGCTAAAGAAAAGAATTATTTTGCCTCTTCCATGTTTGTTTCTGCTGTACAAACTCGTACTGCAGGGAACACTGGTTATTTGTTTCAGGTTTTTTTGCTGCCTTTTGTAGTGAGGAGAAAAGCAGGTCTCTCTCCACGGCATGGAGTAGAGATAGCTGCTTTGCAGCGCTTGCTACCAGGTGAGATCTAATTTCCATTTTGGTTGGGGAACTGAGGCTGCCAAGGGCTATGGCACTGGGTGTGACAGCCTGTTACCTGCAGTGCCTGGAGCAGAGTGAAGTTCTCTTACCTGGAGTTGTGAGCAGGGTCACTGCTTTGCTGATGTCACCGACAGCCAACACCACACACCACTTATTACAAAGTCAGATTGAATTTATTACCCTTGGGCAATTTAAAAAAAGGCAGAAGACAACATCCAGACATTCTGTTACTTTGATGGGCAGCAAAACTTTGTATAATTCACATACGTTAAGTGATCAAAACATAACCTTCAGATCCATACACTCCAAAGGAAGGACAGAAACTGGAAACGTGAACTTTCTGCAGCTTGCCCCAGTAATCGACTGGTATTGCAGAGAACAACGTAGTTACAGCAACAAACATCTCTGTCAAGATTTAAATTAGCTGTTTACACAATGGTGCTACTTGATTGTTGTGACAGAAACACGGAAGCGGGCTAAGCTTTCCACAAACCGAATCATTAGTGAAACAATCCCCTCAGCACTGCATTTTTAGGACAATGCTGTTGTAGAAAAGAAAAAAAGGAAAAATGTACAATAGTACATATAGTTTTATAGTAAATGGTATCTGAACAGATTCAGTTTTCCTTTTTTTGGTAAAGCATATACAGCTTTATAAAATATAAACCTTCCAAAGGTCAATTTGAAAAGCTTGGAAGAGGCTTTGCTAATTCTAAAAGTAACAGACAAAATACCTTTTTGCTCCTACAAGATGCATGTTTTATTTTACCTCAACAGTTTTAGCCTTGGAAGGTGAGCCATGAACTCGACTACCGTGTTCTGTGTAAACCTCCACCAGTCAACTGAAGACTCCCCCTCGGATGGGAATGCTCTCGTTCAGCCCGTGTTCTATTAGCTTGATGTCCTCTAAGTCATCCTTGATGATGCTGATTAGGTGACCCAGCCCTTCTTGCTGCTGCTTCAGGTGCTGCAGATAGTCCAGAAACCAGTGTGAGTACTGTTCAGCTTCAGTGACTTAATACTTCTCAATAGTGAGAAATATTTATAATATTTCTCAAAAATGTCAGGACTGGTGGCACTGGCACATTGCTAAGCCTGGCATCATTTCTTTGAGGAAAGAGTAACAACGTTTTCTGTACTAACAGCCTATCTCCACAGAGTGGTTTTGTACAATAGCTTGGTGCCCTGGTGCTGAGACCAATTAAAAGGATGACTTCATCAAGCAAGGCAAGAAGGTGACACTCTAGATCCAGTGTCTGGCTTAAATGATCAAGTTCAAAGAGTAGGCCAGGATTCTACCCAGTGACACTTACTTGCTTGATTTCCCTTAAGAGGTCTGCATCTATGTAATAGCGCTCTTCTGCCCGCACTGTTCCAAAGTGGTTCTGCATCCTGATCTGGGACATGAGCTCATTCAGTCTGCCCTGGCAAGAGAGAAGCAGCCTTAAATCAAACACAACTCATTTACAGCTGGCAGAGCTGCAGCATCTACCACCCCTTGAGTCTCTAGGGCTGGAAGCATTGCTGCTCGCTCGATTTTTAGATGTTCTGGGTGACATGCAAAAGGGTAAGCGACTCCAATTTGATTCCCAAGAACTCAAAACTGCTGAAATACCTCTTGGCTATTCAGTAAAGAGTATGATGCTGCAACCTACTCACACTGCCAGACTGAAAGCCTTCCACAACCAATATACACACATGATCTGGAAAACGGGCATGATTTTAGTGAGGAACCCCCAGAGTTGTTAGCCAAACTCTGTCAGTCTCTCACCTTGAACTGCGTGGGTGCATTAAGTTCACACTGAATTGTATCCAACTGCACACGAAGCTGCTCCTCATCTGCTTGAATGGCGTAACCGCTTTTCCTTTGGATCTCCTGCTTTATCAGCACCTACAAAAGAAACCTTTGACGTTCATTAGAGAACACTTGGCCCATCCTTCTCTCCACCAGCCCATTTACATCTATTTGCCCTTCCTTCTGCCTGCTTCTCACTGGATTTGTTGTTTCTTTAGGCTACTGCCCTAAGACCTCAGGACATCCTTGTGGTAAATGCGAGAGAAGGTTCCCAAGTACTGCAGACCTGAAGCTTTCCCTGACAGCTCTGCTTGGTACTTAACACCTGCTAGCTGACATCAGAATAATTTTCAGCATCGGCCTGCACAAGACAGAACAGGTTCTCACTCCCTGTGAAACTGCTTGTGGCACTAGACTGTGTCAAAGGAGTTACTGAGATTACCCCTGTTACCTGCAATGTTCTGTGCGAAAGCGCCATCAATTTCCTTTTGTACTGTGCAATTTTTGCCATAGTTGTCGTTTGGTTTTTCTGCAGCTCACTGATATCTTCTGATATTATCTGCAGAGGAGATGGGAGTCAACTGGATGTCAGAGAAGGTTTTTGAAAACAGAACACGTTAGGCTTGATTTAAAACTTGGAGTTTTGTGACACTACACTGCCCAGCAACTTGGTGTCCTTGACTCAGATGCTTTTACCTCTACTGCTTTCTTCTACCTCTACTGTTCTGGTTTGTGTTTACTTTCATACGCAACCAGGATTTTCAGAAGGCATTGGAAAATTGGTTGCCCAAATTTAGAAGTCCATGCCAATACAACTTAATGGAGCTGGTGTGAATTAGTCTATAACAAAACAGTAAGCTTGAACCTGAAACAGACAAAAGCTAAACCACACTGCTCAGTTTTTGGGCAAAAGGTCTATTTAAGGAATATATGAAGAACATGGTTCCTGTTGCAGTTTTGAACACACAGGGGGAGGTGCATTTCATAGCGTGTCCTTTGTCAACAACAAGTCATGATCAAGATGGTAAGGTCAACCTTACATCTAATCGAGTTTGATGCTGTTTGGTCATTTGATCCTGGACCTTCAATCTTCTCAGCAGTTCCTTGAAACCCACCATTGGCACGGGAATAAGCCTGTGAGAACACAAATACTTCTTACAACATGTTTTTATACTGGACACACGGTAAGGACTAATAATTATGAAGTCTGTCACTATGAAGTTACAGTTTATGCTGGTCTTTTATAAATTAGTACATAACCATAGCTTTTTTTGCTAAGCTCTAGAGTCCTCTGTTCCTTTTTCATAAAGAAGCCAGCCCTTTTTATCTGTAACCACCGGAGGGCATCACCTTCAGCCATAAAGAGAAAAAACCGTAAGCGTTGTAAAAAATAAGTCACAATAACTAATCTATGTAATGGAGGACACACACCTCCAAGGAAACCGAGTAAGACTCTTTATCCTGACAGCTCCTAAGCACCTAATGGGTAAAGGGATTAAGACAGGCACTTCCAGTAATCCTCACTGCTTTCAAGGGGATCAGCACTTGACCAAGTTGTACCTGAGTAACTTTGGTGCAAGTTATCTGAAGGGTACTATGCAATAATTATCTCTTTCTCCCCTTTCCAAGCCTTGTTGCAATACTTCAATACTTGGACAGAGTACCGAACTTACTTATCAGGATCTGGATTATCAACTTTGGCTTGTTCCCATATAATAGGATCAACACCTAAAAAAAAAAAAAGGGATTTTTAGCATGGATATCTGAATAGAAAGATGTTACAGCTGCTAACCAGGAAAAAATGCTGTGAAATACACAAACCCTATGAACTATGCTAACCCAAATGCCTGTTACACAAATTAAGTAAATTAAACTAGGGTAGTTTTTTAAAAGTCCTGATCCTGAGCAGCAGCAGTAAATTCTGACGCAGAGGCTGTCAAGCACTCCTGCAGGTTTGAAAGCAGGGGAAAGGAATAACCCATAGGCACTCCCATTGGGCACTCCCACTATATGCTGCACTTGGATCATCTGTCCTTTCAAGTTGCTTATTGTGTGAAACAAACAAATATTTAAAAGATCAGTAATTTAAGTGATCAAAGTACCAAATCTGTTGGCAAAATAATCCCAGTAGGAGTTAGCTCTGACTTTTCTGCAAGAGTAGGCCCGGTTCCTTTTCCAATCCAGATTTCATAACCTTTCATATCCTGAACATAGACATATATAAAAGCTACAGACACAAAGGTAAGTCATCTAAACAAATTACACGAACAGGCCTTAACGACTCTAAAGCCAAGCTATATGTGCACTGTCTGTGGCCACACAGGCAAGCTAAGAGACCCATCTGAAAACTAGCCAAGTGTGTACAGGACATGATTATTCTGATTTTTAACTTTTTCTTATTGTTTTCACAGGTGTTTTCCAGCAGGCTGACAGCTGTTTTTTTCCCAGAGAGCCCAAAAGGCCCAGCCCACGCACCGGCAGGAGGGTTCTGCAGGAGCTGCTTGACTTGTGCTGGGGACAGCTCTGTCCTGGCCATGGACAGGCTGACCCCCAGCTGCTGCAGGGATGATTTGATGTTGGCTTGCTCAAAGTGGGCGTAGAGGGTCGTTGCGGGAACTCTCCTCGAGGTGCCATTGGGCGAGCGCTCCACAACGTAAATGATCACTTCTGTCCTGAGCGAGGCAAAGTGCGGAACATCAGCAAAAGGCCGGCAGCACCAGGAGCTAACACAATACAGAACCACCTGAAATCCAAGCTATCACTTCTCACAGCTGACTTTTAACTTCCTTCAGCTAAGTGAGATGCCAAGTACCAGTAGCTGCAGGGTTTAACATAGCAAGGGAGAGAAAGAGAGAAAAGCTGTAAAGAATGTAAGCATTACATTCTCCTCTCTCTCCAATTTTAACAACCATATTCTATGGTGCTACTCGTGAAGAATAACCTTAAATCTCTGGAAAGGTACTGGACTTAATGCTGTAAGAATAACTATATGAAGGAATAAGAGATACAAATCAAACTCGGGATGAACAGATGTAAAATCACGGGGAGAGGGAGACAGTAGACTTCGGCACCAACCCTTTCTACATGCAATAGAAATGAGCAACCCTGTGGGGAGTTCACGTACTGGTCATCTGGCATTGTTCTAACACCTTCAACATTGACAGCGAGGGTCTGGTTTCCTCCCAAAATTTTGTGTAGTGATTCTACGAGCTGCTGCTGCTGGCTTCGAATATCTGCTTCTTTTCTGTTAAACACCAAGACCACGAGGCCATCTTCATATAGTTAACAAAAGCATATCTTTGTGGCATGAAGGAGAGGGGCTAAATCCCTCCATTTTTTAGAGCAACTGGTTCAAAATTTAACTCACAGTGCATTCAGAGCTGCAGAAACATAGAATCAGTCCCCTTTTAAATCATTCTCTCACACAGCCATCAGTAGAGAAGCTTTTGAAAGAGTCTGGATTTTTACAAAAAGTTCCTAAGTATGCTTTTCCTATCAGGGGAGTTGCCAACACAGCAGAGCTGACAGCAATCAGGAACATTTTACAAACTGACCCTTTTTACAAATTGCAAACGGAACCAGGGGATCAGACTTTATTACAAGCACTGGTGACAGGGTGGACAGCAGGGGCTTTGTGAGGCCCTGACACTGCAGGTGGGTGGGTGACCTGCACCTTTCAGCTCAGCTCAAGAGAGAAGTGAGCTGAGGACATGCCCAGGAGGCCGGTTTTGTCAGCAGAGGGTAATCCCCTGCCATGGTGAGCCTTGCAGTACCAGCCATCCTGTCATGGAGCACAACAGTGATAGCTAAGGAAGAATTTTAAGCACATGACAGGAAGAGTTTCTGTTTAAAACATGTAACTCTTCCACAATCTCTTTATGCAACACAGTATTTTCAAACTAGAACAGATAGTTTTTACTTCACTGTGCTTTCAAACAGTGGTCTGTAACAGGTATCTTAGCAGCGTGTGTTTCCTGGTCTGGAGCTGCATGCTTCTCATGTGCCCTAGAGCTGGAATTGTGTACAAGTGGATTCCTGTGGAACCCTTCATGTAATGCTTCTTTCTTATCTGATGCCAGATGTTTCCAGTGGCAATAACTGAACTAGCTTATGACACCGTGCTCCTATCCCTGTGCCACCTTCCCCCCATTCTTTGCAGGCATCTTCCACTGGTGGCACAGATGGAACTTGTCAGTATTTCACTTAAGGCACGTGAATTCATGGCATTAGAAACACTCCTGTCACAGGGACAAGAGCAAACCTAGTGTCTGGCACTGTCTAACCTGAAAACTCTTCTTTTTACTAAATGGAACTCTAAAATAACCGGTTTTGCATCACACAACTTACACTGGGCAATTTTTCCCAAGCTCAGAAACCGTGACAACAATTTCAGACAACAACTTACAAGAAAATAAGCTTTCAAGTGCATTACCAACAAAATGGTCAGAGTAACACTGAAAAAGGTGATGCAACAAAACCAAACGTTTGTTAGGCAGGCACAGTCGCTGCACAAGTTTTACAGAAGTCTCGTAATGTGCATAATCAACACGAGACTTAATGAAGTATTAACCTACATTCAGGTCACAAAGCTCGCACTCCGAAGGATCAGCTCAGGGAAGGAGGGTATCACCACGCCTGCCCCAAATCCCCTTACAAGCCTGAGGCTTAGCAAGACAGTCAGCAGGTGCGGGATTTGCGGAGGATGGAGAGCCACAAATTCTCTGTTGACATGAGAAGCAAGATCTGGAATTGCTGACGACTCCATACAGGGAATGGGGTCAGCAAGAACACTGGCAAGGATAAAAGCACAAGAAGGCTGAAGGCTGGTGGGTGTTACACCTGGCACAGGCCAGGTTCATAAAGGGTTATTTTAATCTAGACAAAGCAGTGAAGAAAGACTCTGAAGTTCTTGTTCCAAATGTTCACAGTTTCTTTCAGACAAGAAAGTTATTTTTAATTGTTTCTGGCTTATTTGAACACACACACACACACACACACACACACACACACACACACTAACCTGAACACTAGCATATGAAAATGTTACCTTCGTGATCCACACTTGGGCTCATTATCTAGCCCCTCCCTTCACCCAGACCTCCAGCATCTTCAAACCTTTTAATGAGTATGCCTCAGAACTGTGCAGAACACCTGGACAAACACTGTTTCAGAACGCTCTCACCAGCGGTACCATCTGCTTTAACACCCGAGAGCTCAGACTCGGCAGAGTAAGGGCATGAGCGCCCTCTGTGGGCAGCTGAACAATGCCGTACCTTAAACCGGCAGAAGGGGTTTTCCTGCGTGAACTCCACCGGCGCGATGTTGTTGTTGAAGTACCCTTTGCCCGTGCCCCAGAAGGCCTGCAGCTGGTTCCATTTGGCCAGAATGGCGTCCCTCTCATCTCCCAGCAGTGTCGGGGCCGAGAGGGCGCTGGCTGTGTTGATGAGCTGGTTGGACTGAGCGGGTGTCTGGGCAGGCTGGTTGAACAACCCGCTGCCTAACGCTGGGTGGGATGAAGAGAAACAAAGGAACTGCTTGACCAACCATGACCGTGCTATCACCTACCACCTGCCCATCACTGGCATCACTTCCTATCATATTCTGAGAAGCAATATAAAAACACCCAATGAATAAATGAATTAAAATCAGATCATGTTTCTTAAGTGTCTTTTTGCAGCTGCTCCTCATCTACAACAGAAGTTTCCGAATGCTACATTAGAAGAAATTTTTTATTTTTTTTTTAAGAGACACCTGTATTGATCCATGTCACCACCTGGCACCCTCAATATCTAAATCTGAGAGGCAGGCTGGCTGTTACAAATTCAGTGGACTCCAAGCCTGAAGCTGCTTATTATCCAACTCCCCTTTAAATTAACCTCAATGCCTTTTTCCTCCCCTTTCTTCTAATGCTGTCACTGCAACATCAATTCTCTAACTACAATTTCTACCAGCATTAGACCAGAGGGGTAAATACTGCTGGAAGCTCAAGGGTGAAGCTCAGGGACTTGCTTGTGCTCCAGTTGAAGAGTTTAAGTGCAGCAGCCTCCTGTTACAATTCACTTCTGTCCCACTACCCGAGGAACTGCAGGTGGCAGTCTTGCGCTTTCACTGCTAAGGGATGGGTAAATGCAAAGGCCATACTCACTGGTCTGCTGCTGCTGCTGCTGCTGCTGGGTTCCAAAGCCTCCGAAGCCCAGCCCAGTTCCCAACCCACTACCCAAGCCCGTTCCAGTTCCTGTGCCAAAACTGGTACCAAATCCAAAGCCTTTGTTCTGGGTAGCACCAAAGAGCCCTGGGGAAACAAGTAAAGGATGATTGAGAAAAAGAGCCCAGCAGCCACGTAACCCAAAGCACTCCTGGATTTGCTCTAAAGGCAGTCGGTCCTTCGGTCCCTTACCGCTGGTGCCGGTGTTGGTGGGAGCAGAGAAGCTGAACGCCGGCGCCGCGGTGGTGGTGGTCGTGCCAAAGCCTCCGAAGGCACCTGCCAAACACAGACCGCGGTCAGGCAGCGGCACACGGCCCCCGGAGCCGGGCACAACGTGACAACCGAGCGGGTGTTATGGGAACAGGTGCTGACAGACGGATGGCACGTGGCACAAGCATGTAGTTCACACCGAGCATGGGGATCGAGGTCATGGTCCAAGGAAATGGGGGAGAAAACACGGACCACAAAGCCAGAACTTGTATGGTGTGTCAAGAAAGCAAACAAAAAGGCAGCGGTCAGCTGACGCCTTGTTCCTTTACCAGAGGGATGTGCTTTCCCTAGTGACAGACACAACTAAAAGTACTATTTCTTAGAATTGTTCTCAGGAATACTTCTGGCCAATGTCACTGCTAAGTGTTTAACAAGCAGCCTGATGTTTTGTGAAATTTACAAACACTCCCAACCTTGGGAAACACATCAAAGCCTCAGGCCAGGTGCACACAGATAAAATTCTGCAGGCTCCTTTTTTTTTTAAAGCCTTGTTTCCCAATGATCCTCCCCGTTACATCTCATTTGGAGGTTCAACCACTACTAGTACAGGAAGATGGATGCAAAAGCAATCAGCCTTCCACAGATTTTCAGGAAAAGCAGTCACTGGCCAACAGGAGGGGAGCTAAGTGAACACCTGAGCCCCAGTGGTGCCAACAGCGCTGGCCCAAGGTGCAGCCTGTGGACCTGCCTGAGAAACCAAGGTCTGTGTTTCAGGCTGCTCTTACACGTGTTCAAATGAGAAGAGACACTCTGCTACAAAGGATTTGTCACAAAGATGCCGCCTCTCTTAACTCACATGTCAATAGCAAAAAAAGGCCAACATACGGTTCTTTAGATCTATTACACTCACAGTCCTGTCCACAAACAAAATGAAAAGTATAAATCAAAGCTGATATGCAATTGCATTTTACTTCCATTTAGCAAACATCTTAATGTGAGTGGGCACAAGAAATTGCTCCCCATAAAACCCATGTTTCAGTCCTGCCAGCGAGCGGGACACCCCGGCAGGAGCACCAGCAGATGACACTGTTTTTAGGCACCTTTGTACTCATGGCAAATTTAGTCATCCTTTCTTGAAAAGGCACCTGAGAGTACAAATTAAACATCAAAGCATCAAATTAAATATCAAACGGACTATCCGTGGTCTCTTCTGGAGCAGCTCAATTGAAGCCAAAGAGATCCAGCCCAAGAGTGTTCACAGCAAATAAACCCTAATGAGACCCCTGGAGTGCACAGAACAGATGAGAGGAGGTGACACAGAGAGCGATGACACTGTGGGATGGATGGAATTCCTATACGAGCAGCAGCAACAGGACACCCTGGGCTAATTCCACACCAACAAAACCATTAGAAATCCATCCAGCCCAGTGTTTTTATAGGGAATGGGAAATATTTAAGGTGAAATGACATCAGCTGATCGCTCTGATCTGATGGATCTCCACGGGACCACAAAGGGCTTCCTCAGCCACCCCCCAGTGCACCCATCCCGTGCCTCCCTGGAGCACGGGAGCCTCCGGAGAGCTGGGGCAGGGCAGTTTTGGGATGTAGGGCGGTTTTGGGATGTAGGGCAGTTTTGGGATGTAGGGCAGTTTTGGGATGTAGGGCAGTTTTGGGATGCACGGCGGCATTTGGGAACAGGGCACAGCTGGGCTCCGACTTGGTGCCGGTCGTATACAATTTGTTTCTCCACAGAAACTACTGAGGTGTGGTGCATTCATGACAGCCAGTGCAAGGCCAATGAGGAGACACGGGGAAGATGAAAACGTGACTGCAGTAGTCCAAGAATCTCATGTCAGGAAATGTGGTGTAGGGACCGGCTCTGGGATTGCTCGGGATCAGCTGGATTCATTCACATTTTAGAAACTTTTGGCTACAGGGATACTTTTCCTCAAAAGCTATTCCTTGAGAATTTAACAGGCAAAACCCCTCCATGCCTATGGCTCTCCAACCCGTTCCATTTCCAGAGCTTTTATGGCCAGTCATCACCGGATATGAGGATTAGTAGTGGACACAGATTCCCAGTGAGGGATGTAATTCTTGGACCCCTGCTGGTAACATTTACCACAGAACATGAATTTATGCATTATCTACCTGCGCTTGCCAGACTGTTACCAAAATTGAATGGTGGAGTTGAGGTAGTGGAAACACCGAAATTCCCAATATTAAAATTCACCGCGGGATTAGCAGTTAATCCGAAACCCCCAAAATTAAACCCACTGGCAGTGGAGTTTGCAGTTTCAAGCCCACCAAATCCTGACGAGCGGGAAGCAGAAAAAGAGCAAGGCAACATTAGTTCTGAGTGAAAGGCAGGTCCCAGGAAAGACAAGCTGAAGCATTTTTCCATCCCCACAGGTAAGACAGGCACAGTTAGAAACAAGAGTAAAAGGTATTAACTGGCATTAAACATTATTTATTGGACACAAGGAGGACAGTTAAAAGCACCACACACTGCTGCTGTAAGGATGTTATTTTTCAATTATACTGCGCATGAAGCAGCAGCATTTCCCCACCTTATTTCAAAGCCGTACATGAAACCATCTCTGTGATTCAATATTCACATTAAGAGTAATTTTTAACAGCCTAAGACTGCTCGATACAGCTGCATCTGTGTTAAGTGTAACAGATAATAGCAAAATTAATTCATAAGCTATCAGGAAGGCGAGAGTAAATAATTTTCATACAAATAATACACTCAGATACATGACAGGAGAATAACCACCAAACTCAGCTCCAGCAGCGGAGGCACCACACAAGCCTCAGCTACTCCAGGGTGGACCTATCCAAGTTCTATTACCAAAATATTCCCACCTCAGCCTTGGTGGATTTACTGATGCGTGCAGCACCCCTGGGATGCAGTCGTAACAGGTTCATGCTGGACAGACAATGGGAAGTCCTGAGGTGTGATCCCAGACTTCCCTTTGGTATTGGTCTGTGAGTGTGATAAACCTTGCCACTTGTGTACAGGCAGCACAAGATGATTTTTTTACTTTCAGATGGGGCCAGAAAAAAGTGTGTGTCAAAGTCCCAGAGCGGAAGAGACAGTAAAATTCAGGTTAACGACAGTAAAGACGAGTCCTGTCCAAAGGACTTGCTAGGAGCCAACAATTAATCATTTTACTAAATGAGGGTAAGGAAAGCTCTTACGCCTCACCATGACTGACAGTGACAAAAGAAGAGGGGAAAAGGACTTCCCTTACAAGTTAACCCGTGTCTTTTACCTTGCTCAAAAGTGAACTTCCAAGGGCATCTCGTCCAAAAGACGACTTTAATGCAAGCAAAATACAGATGCGAGGGACCTGTACCACCTCATCCCAAGCGCCTCAAGAGCATCTCCCGGGCCCGCCGGGGGCCGGGCGGGGCGCGGGACGGCACCTCTGAGGCGGCCGCGGCTCCCATTGGCCGGAGGGCACGCGCTG